GAGGTGTAAGTTTGCATTTGAGTTCCAATGGGGTTGATTCAGTCTTGCAATCTGTGATACCTACTCGAGAAAGTAAGTCAGATGCATACTTGGCTTGGGAGAGGTAATAGCCTGTTGAGTCTTGGGAGACTTCTAGGCCCAAAAAATAGCGAAGCGTGCCAAGGTCTTTCATTTCAAATTGTTGACCAAGATAACTTTGTAATGCTAAAATTTCAGACTGATCATCTCCAGTTATTATCATATCATCAACATAAAGCAGCAGAATTACAATACCTCCTTTAGTTCGTCTAGTAAACAAGGCATTATCATGTGGGCTAGAAAGAAAACCAATTTTTGTAAGAGTAGAACTGAACTTGTCAAACCAGGCCTTAGGTGCTTGTTTCAAACCATATAAGGCCCGTTGAAGCTTACAAACTTTATGAGGAGAATGATAGCCAGGAGGAGGATGAATATAGACTTTCTCTGTTAGATCACCATGAAGGAATGCATTTTTGACATCCATCTGAAGAAGCTTCCATTTATGAACTGCAGCAATGGCCAAGAGACTACGAGCAGATGTTATACGGGCCACCAGAGCAAATGTTTCTTCATAGTCTATCCCATACTCTTGAGTATACCCTTTGGCTACCAGTTGAGCTTTGTAACGATCGAAAATTCCATCAGAAAGAGTCTTAATTTTATAGACCCATTTACAACCAATAGGGATCTTATCAAGAGGGAGATCAACTAGATCCCAAGTATGAGTCTTTTCTAAAGCCTGGATTTCTTCAGACATAGCTTGCTGCCAAATAGGATTAGTATGTGCTTCACAAAAAGAGGAGGGCTCATGAAGAGTTGCAATAGCAGAATAACAATGGTAATCACTAAGATATTGAGGAGGTTCTCTTACCCGAGTTGAATGACGAGTAGCAATTGTAGGTACAGTATCATCAACTAGAACAAATTCAGTAGGAGAAGGTGAGGAAGTGCCAATATTGAGCTCATTAGATGTATCTGTGTCAAGACTTGGAAATAACTCAATGGAGGGATCGGTAAAAAAAATAGATTCAAAAGCAATAGTATGATGAAATTTTGAAAGAGAAGAGAACATAGTATTTTCCCAAAGGATAACATGGCGTGAGATGCGTAATCTGTTAGAAATGGGATCCCAACAACAATATCCTTTATGTTCAATGCCATAACCAAGAAAACAACATAAACGAGCACGTGATTCTAATTTTGTGTGCTTATGAGGTTGTAAAAGAACAAAACAAGCACATCCAAAATGTTTAAGAATTGAGTAGTCAGGAGGCTTACCAAACAATTTCTCAAAAGGAGAAAATTTTTGAAGAACTAAAGTGGGAAGGCGATTAATAGTATAGACAATATTAAGAGCAGCTTCCCCCCAAAAATTTTCTGGACACGAGGCAGAGAGGAGAAGAGCACGGACAGAATCAAGGATGTGTCGATGTTTTTGCTCAACTCGACCATTTTGCTGAGATGTGTGAGGACATGAGCGTTGGACCATAATACCTTGTTGACTGAGAAATTGAAGCAAAGAGGAATCATGATATTCCATCGCATTATCGGTGCGAAGAGTTTTGATTGCACAAGAGAATTGAGCCTTAATCATATGTGCAAATGAGATGTAAATTTGGGTTAATTTAGATCTATTTTTTTATAAATATATCCATGTAAAACGATAGAAATCATCAACAAACAAGAACAAAGAATTTGTCCCAAGAACAAAGAAATCATCAAGAAACAAGACACATGTTTCTTTGGAAGGTGGAGAGATTTGAGCTCAAATAGCCGACCCATCCTGTGACCTGTCCCAAGAATTTGTCTCGTTTGTGGATCTTGTACCTGTACACCAAAAGGAGAAAAAAGAACACTTAGTCCTTGTTCACATAACTGACCAACAGAGATAAGATTAAGTGTCAAGTTGGGTATATAGTAAGTGTTAGTAAGAGTGAGATTGGGGGTGGATACTTGACCAATACGAGTGATGTTCATTTTATTTCCACTAGTTGTGTGGATTAGTGGTAGAGAGGAAACAAGTGATGCAGAGGACATTAATTTAATATCAATGGTCATATGATTACAACATGCAGAATCAAAAAACCAATGAGAATTACCCGAAGTAGTAGACATGGAAGTAGAGTTATTGCTAGAGATAACCTGTTGAGTAATTCATCAATATCACTCATAGTAATACTAGTGGAACCCTCAATGGCAGTAGCAGAGATATGAGACTCATTCTTTTTGACAACCTTAGGTTTGAAGGTGCCACTGTTTGGTTTTGGAGGTCGTGTGGGACAGTTCTCAAGAATGTGGCCAATATTATGACAATATATGCATTCTATAATGGGACAATTAGCAAACACATGGCCAGTTCGATTAAAAATTTTACAAGGGTGGTAGCTTGATTTTTGTTGTGAGAACCGAGCAATTGCCAGAGTAGCATCAAGAGGATTGGGTTTGTTTAGATTCAAACGTGTTTCTTCAAAAATAATCTCTTGCATAGCAGTATCTAATGATGGGAGTGGGTGTCGATGCAATAATGAGGCGCATACAGCTTCATATTCTGGTCGTAGAGCCATAAGAACTTGAATTAGACGAAGGTGATCTTCACTGATTTTGGCTTGAGATAGTTGATGCCAAATTGGTTGTACTTGGGCAAGGAAATCATTCACAGATTGGTCAGATTCTTGCTTGGTGTTGTGAAGTGTAGTCCACAACTGGTAATAGTGAGCAAGACCGGTGGTCTCATAATGGCTAGACAAAAAATCCCAAATTTCTTTTGCAGAATCATAAGTAGCAAATTGAATATGAATAGATGGAGAAGAGGTGTTGTGGAACCATGTGATTACCTGATGGTTTTTGCTATCCCAATTCTCAAGACGATTAGCAAATTTTGCATCAGTTTCACTTGCTTCCTTGGTTGGCTGTTTGATATTGCTAGTGACAATACGCCAAAGCTTACGACCAATCAAGAAACTTTTCATTGCCTGAGCCTAAAGAGTGTAATTTGATCCCGTCAAGACAATTGTGATGGGTTTTGAAAATTCAGATTTTTCCATGATGAATGTGGCAGAAAGATAAGCAGAGCCAGAATAAATTATTACAGGACAGAAAATGACGAGACAAAATTCGTCAAGTTGCAGAACACCATAATGATTTGGTGGCTATGATGGTGTGGCTGGAAAAAAAATAGAGGAGGCTAGGATTCGTAACTCAAGCTTTGCATACCATATTAGCTGATATTAGAATATTGGATTTCAAATTGTATATTCCAATCAGTATCAATATACATATATAATTGAAGCTAAGCTAAAATAGGAAACAAGACTAAAATCAAGGTATTCCTATAATAACATAATCAAATCATTCCTAACTAAACCAGAAGGCTATAATCAAGATATTCCTATAATGACATAATCAAATTATTCCTAACATAATCAGAATATTCCTCCTAATATTCTGCTAACAATACTCAATTACTCATGAGTCATCATCATATGCATAAAAATTGATTGATAAATTATCAAACAATTTTTAAATTTTATAAAATTTGTATAATCAACCAAATAAATACGATAATTAGAATAATTAAATCTACATTATATAAAAGTTATTAAAGATGTAACCCCAAGCGTGTGGTTCAGCGGTAGGCGTTGATCCACGCTTAAGCAAGGTCAGGCAGTGTTTTAAAACCTGGACCAACCCGGCCGGTCAGACCGGTTGGACCGGGAACCGGTGGTCCAGCCGGTCCG